GTGGGCATGGCGGCGCGGGCCCCGCCGGCCTCGGGCACCGGGCGGGGTGGCCCGAGCGTGGGCGTAGAGGCGCTCTGCGCGGTTTCTTGAATCTAATTGGCTCTTGGGAGGGCCTAGTAGTGCGCTGGCTGAGAACCGGAGGCCGCGCGAGCCGGGATCGCCGGTGCCGGTGGTGTTTACTCCCGCCCGACGTTGAGGTGCGTGTGCGCGTGTGTGCGCGCGTGTGCGCGTGCGCGCGCCCGCTTAGGGTCCTACGCCCCTTTCAGAATGAAGCTGGCTAGACGGGTCCCGGCAGGAAAGAGGTCGCAGGCTTCGTTTAGGAGGTTAATAAAAGCCCGCAGAGGGAGACCAGAAACCGAAAGGCGGATCTCCCCTCTCCCCGCGTGGCAGCCGGGTCGAGAACTTGGCCATACCCTCCGCTTAGACTCAGAAGGTCATAGCAGTGGAGATAAAACCTGCTGCGCAAACTGTTCGAGGTACGGCCCTGGGAGGGGCCCGACCTGCGCTGTCTCTGTTTTTTCAAGTGTGAGGGCGGTGGGAAAAGAAAACATCAGGGTTGGGAAAACAAAAGGCATTATTACTTCGTGTGGAGCGGTGGCCTGAGCATTGTCCCAGACGTTGTCCTCCTGTTTGTTCACGCCCTCGCCCATGATCGTCTCTCCCTCCCCTTCCGAACTGGAAGGGGTGATTGGAGGTGGTTTCTTTCTGAGAGCTGGAAACCCGCTTTAAGATAGGAAATGGGCTTCTCACGATAAAAATAGGAGCTGGGGAAAGTGCCGGTTTAGGGGGAGGCGGATTTGTAAGTCGGACAAAGTGCAGGAGACTTGGGCATTGGCTGCTTATCCAAAGCCAGCGACTTTTAAGGGTGTTGCCGATATAGTATCCAGAGGGCCTCACTGTCACTCCCTTTTTGTGTCGGTCCCTTTGATTCTGTCTGTGACGGGTTATTTTTTTCTGAGCGAGTAAGTGGTCTCTTTTTCCCCGTGTTTCCTCCTTTCTCCCCCGAGCTTCTCCCGACCCGATCTGCGATCGCAGCGTTCGGAGTGTGGAATCTCATCTGCCTACCCTTGTGACTCCTATTTCAGGTTCTGCTGGAAACCCCCCTGGTAAGTGTGGAGGAGGCGGGACGCTGTGACCCAAGACAAAAGGCCTGGAGCGCCAGCCAAAGGAAATAAACGTAGAGGGAGAAGGGAAAGAAGGCTGAGCTGCTGCTGTGAGCAGGCCCGGCGGAACCGCGCAGGGGACAGCCCCCCGGGAGCGGCTGTATGCGGACTGAGGGTTCAGGGAGTCTCGCGGGCCCGAGGGCCTGGACTGGGTGAGGAGCGGGTGCTCTCCGAGGTGAGGTGGCCCGAAGGGGAGAGCGGATGTGGCCAGGAGCGTGGCCTTGGTGTCACCGGGTGTGCATTCCTCTGGGGCCGTCGGGGCTCTCAGCCCCTGTGCTGTGCCAGGGAGGGGTGCAGGGTTGACACGGAGGAGGGTGACCTGCTGGCTGGAGTGGCAGAGCAGTGGCCTTGATTTCTCTTTCGGAAGATTTAAAACCCAAAAAGCATAAACGTTCTGGTCCTTCAGCAATGCTTTCTCTGAAGAAATACTTAACGGAAGGACTTCTCCAGTTCACCATTCTGCTGAGTCTGATTGGGGTGCGGGTGGACGTGGATACTTACCTGACCTCACAGCTCCCCCCACTTCGGGAGATCATCCTGGGGCCCAGCTCTGCCTACACGCAGACGCAGTTCCACAACCTGCGGAATACCTTGGATGGCTACGGGATCCACCCCAAGAGCATAGACCTGGACAATTACTTCACCGCCCGGCGGCTCCTCAGCCAGGTGAGGGCCCTGGACAGGTTCCAGGTGCCGACCACTGAGGTGAATGCCTGGCTGGTTCACCGAGACCCTGAGGGGTCTGTGTCCGGCAGCCAGCCAAGCTCAGGCCTGGCCCTCGAGAGCTCCAGTGGCCTCCAGGATGTGACAGGCCCAGACAACGGAGTGCGAGAAAGTGAAACGGAGCAGGGCTTCGGGGAGGATCTGGAGGACTTGGGGGCTGTAGCCCCTCCCGTCAGCGGAGACCTAACCAAAGAGGTGAGTGGCCCCGGGGCGGGTGGGCGGTAGGCCCTGGGGCTGTGGAGGAGAAGCTGGCGAGAAGGATGGTGGTTGCAGCTCTAAGCCCTAGGTAGTTCTGGGGAGCGGCGTCTCGGGTGCTGTGCTGGGCAGGAGGGGCCAAGCTGTGTGACTTAGGCGCTGGGCGGAGGGTGTTTCCCTGTGCTCAGCCGGGACCATCTCGGGAAGGCGCTGTCGGGGCCGTGGAAGGGCCCTCTGAGCGGCGTGTTTACTGCTTGGATTTCAGCAGGACTGCTGGAGGCCTGCGGTGGCGGGTCATGTGACGGCTGTGGAGCCGTGTGTATCTGTTGCTAGGACGCAAATGCTGTGTGGCCTCTTGCCTTGCACCTACCCCCACATTGGAACACGTGTGCGCACCCTAAGGTTCTCCTTTGTGGTCAGGCCTGTTGTTGCGAGGCCTGGAGAGCTCAGCTGTCCTGGGCGTGAGCCAGCGCGCAGGCTTGGATGGTGACTCTTGGCTGGGAGAGGCCGGGCTCCTGTCCCTGCTGAAGGCGCACAGCAGGGAGGTGGGCAGTAGAGGCTGAAGAGAGAAGAGAGACTGTCCTGTTGCAAAACCCGAGGGAGCTCCGTTCAAGCTGCCGCGTGATCCTCAGCGCCTGTGGCCGACATGCCTGTTGAGGCAGAATGGGATGCGTTTCCCTTCCTTGAAGGATGCAGGCAGCTAGTGCTGTCCTGCTTTGCCAAGCCAAAAACTGGTGTGACCGCCTCCCAGCCCTGAGAGCTGCAGGGAAGGCCCGCCGTGTCCCACAGGTTCGGGAGAGCAGGCGGTGTGTACTGGGCTGCTAGTGGGGGCCGAGGAGGGACGGGGAGAGTCAGAGATGCTTCGGGGCTGGGCTTCTGCTGCCCCTGTGGGCAGACCCCATCTTACCCGCCTGCGTGGGGCCTGCTCCTGCCCTCAGCTCTCCGAGTGTTGGCAACCGGTGAAGAAGAATGCTTGTTCTGGGCCGGGGGGCAGCTGGTGATATCTGGAGACTCTTAGTTGTCATAGCTGGGGGTGGTGCTAGCATCCAGTGGGTGGAGAGAGGCCAGGGGTGTTGCTGAGCCCCCTAAAAAGCGCAGGGTAGCAGGGTAGACGCAAAGCAAGGTCTCGCGGAGCTCCATTTGTCAGTAGTGCTGGGGCTGAGCCGGCTTTTGTTTTTTTTTTGTTTTTTTGTTTTTTTCCGTTACCGGGAATTGAACTCATGACCTCGCGCTTGCCAAGCAGGTGCTGTGCCGCTGAGCTAAATCCCCAGCCCCTGAGCCAGCTTTTGCTTGGCTGGGTTTAGTGGACCTGCTGAGAGACTCGAGTTATCTGATGGATGGAGCCAGGAGTATTTCTTGCCTTAGGGACCGGGACCCCTTGTCTTAGACCCTTGCCATGCTGCTGGGGACCTCATTCTCTGCCCCTCTTTCCTGTCCTTCAGGGCCTCTAGTCTGGCCTAGTGTCTCGGAAATGCGTGCTCTGCCCAGGGACAGGAACAGGCTTGTCCCGGGAGCCCTGCGGGGCCTGTCTGATGGGGCCTGTCCTTCGGTGGAAGAGACGGGATGTTGTGGGTGGAGCTGAGCCGGCCGGATGGGATGGCACCTTGACCTTGCTTCCCTCTATTCTGGCCCTCGTGAAGGTCAGGCTCTCTTTGAGCCCAGGCCTTTAGCACTGTCTTGGGGAGACAGTGGGTTGAGGTGGAGGGCCCAGGCTGGGGGGAAGGGAAGCTGTGATGTGTCCCGAACATTTCCTCAGCCACTCAGGATAAAAATACCCGGGTTCAGAGCATGTGACAGACAGCAGCATGGAGCCGTATTATCCCTGGGGCGGCAGCTTGCTCCCGCTGCCAGGCTGTTCGACGGGCAGCCGCGGCAGAGGCCCTGGTCCGGGATAGGATTCCCCTGGAGGCTGGTGCTGTGCCCGGAACGGGGTGGCCTGTTGACAGCGCTTACCCGGCTAGGAGCAGGCTGTGGCGGGAGAACACATGGCCTCTGACCGCCCCCAGGATCCAGTCCAGCCCAGGGTGTGGAAAGTGCTCCTGACCCCGCCAGGGCCTTTCCTGCGCGGGAGGGATGAGGGCGGGGAGTGCACGGGCGGCGCTCGGGTGGCCAGGATGTTGGCCAGCACCTGTTTCCTGAGTGTCTGTCGGGCTTCGGGCTGTGCCCTCCTTGTGCGACACCCCCTCTTCTAGTCTGGCTAGTTTGAGGGTGACAAGGGTCCTGGGGTGTTTCGTCTTGGGTTCCTGCCCGGCGGCTTGTGATCCCTGGCCTTGAGGGCTGCCACAGCCTTCCCGAGGAACGGGCAAACTCCTTCCACTTCCCCGCAGAGGACGGGGGCTCCAGGCCTAGCCGGGGGAGGAGTGTCTCGCCAGCTCACGGGCTGGAGAATCAAGCCGCTGCGACAGGAGAGTGGCGCCCCTTCCCCCAGGGCGCTCTCACTGCGCCACCACCCAGCTGACTGACGGCTGGGTGGGGCCGCCCGCCCCTGGGTGCATCTCCTCAAGGAGACGGAGGCGGCCCGGGGATGGGCTGGCTCCTTGCGGCAGCTTCTCCGGCTGTCCTGGCGCAGACATTGGCTGCCGTCTGCAGCTAGGTAACAGGCGGTGGGAGGGGATTGGCTCCTTCCGCATCTCCAGCGGAGACTTGGGGGAGGAGATTGGCTGCCAGCGCAGCCTAGGTAACGACAGTGGGAGGGGATTGGCTCTTTTCGCAGCCCAGCTGCTGACCTGGGGGAGGGGATTGGCTCTCTGCAGCCTCAGCAGTGACCTGCGGGGTGGGAGGGGGAGGGGATTGGCTCCTTGCTGCAGCCTAGGTAACAAGTTTGGGGGGCATGGGGAGGGGGAGCGAGGGAGGAGCGGGAGGCTAGGCCCAGGAGGGAGCTCGCTTTCCTCTGCAGCGTGAGCACGGAGCATGGGGTGGGAGTCCCGGCTCACTGCAGCCTCTGCGGTGAGCTCTGGGTGGGGGCTGCCGGGCGCCTGAGTGGAACTGGGGTTGTGAGGTGGGAGGGGGCTGCTCCAGGATGGAGGAAGGGGGCTGGGCCGGGCCGCCCAGGCAGCAGCACGGGCGGGGCACCCTGCTCGGGCCCCTCGGAGCTAGCAAGGGGCCACCCTTCCAGTTTGGTGTGCGCCCTGCAAGCCAGCAGCTCCTTGCAGCCCCCGTCTGGCTTCCGGGCCGCGGCTGGCCTGGGGCTCCTCTCACAGACCATGACCCGCCTGGACCGCAGCTCTCATGGTGGCGGGGGCCAGGCCAAAGGCAGCCGGCCCCTTAACTCTTTGCTGGCTGCTCAGCGGGTGGCCCAGCCCCCCTCTGCTCCTGGGCCCAGGGCTCCTGTGCAGGTTGGTGGATGGTGGGAGAGTGCAGGGGAGCTGCCCAGGCGGGGGGCTGGGCGGGCACGAGGGCAGGGCCAAGGAGCTTGCGGCCCTGGATTCTTCGGGCTTGTGAGGACACTGCCGCAGGGAGTGGCTCTGGAGGAGGCCGGTGGCTCGGTATCGGGCTTCCATGCTGGTGGCAGTGCGGTGGCAGTTGGTGCAGGAAGTGCTCATAAGCTGCGGGGCAGAGCAGGGGGAGGTGTTTTGGTGCCCTGGGTGGCAGGCAGCACCGAGCAGTGTTGGGTGATGTTGCTGGGGTGATGTCCTTGAGTGGGTTGCCTGCCTGGGAGTCAGAGTCCTGGGTGTGGTGAGGAAAGAGTGCGAGCTGTGAGCGGGTGTGAGGGGCAGCGGGGCTGGCCACGCAGGGTGGGGTGCCCAGTGGGATCATCTGACTGCCGGAGGCTCCCCGGGGATGGAGGCAGCCTGCTGAGCTCAGCCGAGATGGGCATCCTGGCAGGGATGGATCTCGAGGTGAGCCGGGGCGGGTGGCAGCAGCTGTGGGTGCCCAGCGTACTCCTGCTGTGCGCCGGGAGGGGCTGGCTGGAGGAAGGCGCGTGGCCCTCAGTTGTCATTGGTTGCATCAGGTGGTTGGAAATGCAGGGATTTTCCTCCCAGGGCCACCCCACCCCTTTATGCAAATGCAGTGGCACCACAGGCTGATGCAAGCCTGGCCACTGCCGGGCAGCTTGGCATGACAGCTCACCCTTGCGTGCTGCCATGCAGACTCCTCCAGGCCACGTTGTGGGGTCTCCCTTGCCCCAGACTAGAGGTGTCTCCTGTGCCCTCCCCTGGGTCCCGGGTGTGTCTGGTCCAGACCTGAGCCTGCAGACCTGTGCTGGCTGGGCCCTTTCTCTGTTGGGGGGGGTATTGGCTGGAAATGAATGAATGAAGCCTCCTTGTGTGGGGGAGGTCGGAGAGGGTGAGGCCAGCACGGGTGGGGCTGGGAGGGGCCCCACCCTGGACCAAGCCAGGTGACACCAGGCGGGGCCCCTGAGGGCAGGACAGGGAGGGGCCCCAGGACGGGAAAGGTAAAGTGTGGTGGTCTGTCTTTCAGGACATAGATCTGATTGACATCCTTTGGCGGCAGGATATTGATCTGGGGGCTGGGCGTGAGGTTTTTGACTACAGCCATCGACAGAAGGAGCAGGATGTGGATAAGGAGCTGCGAGATGGAAGAGCCGAACAGGAGGACACCTGGGCGGGCACGGGCGCCGATGCTCTGGCCCGAGACCTGCTAGTGGACGGGGAGACCGGGGAGAGCTTCCCTGCACAGGTACGACCGCCCTGCGCCGGCCTCTCTCCTTCTGCACCCCTAGCATTCGGCAGGCTGTTTGCTCCAGAAGCTTCCCCCGCAGAAGGCAGTTGGAGGTTGTGTCTGAGGGGTGGAGTGCGTGCGTGTCTGTCTGAATTTGGTCGCTGCTGGGCTGCGCAGCGGGAGGACAGGCAGCAGACCCTGAAGTGCTCGGTCTTGCTGGGAGCCAGCGTCTTCCTTCTTCCCCTCCGTCACTGCGGGGAGTTGGGGCCAGGAGGGAGATGGCGTGCCTTCAGCTGCGTAGGGGAGAGGCCAGGCCACGCAGCCAGGGTTCAGGCCAGCCTGACTTAAAATTGCTACTGCCACAGGTGCCCAGTGGGGAGGACCTGATGGCCATGTCTCCAGAAGGGAGCCTCAGGCTGCCCCAGGCCCCCTGCCCCTGTGGGGCGCATGCGGAGCGGGCAGGGCCGGGAGAGCCTGTGAGCAGGCCGGTGTAGGCTCAGTGCTCTGGGCAGCCTGGTCTCGGCTGCTGGTGTGAACTGAGAGGAAGGGGGACAGGAAGCCAGGTGTAGCTGCTGGGAGGAGGGGGAGGGTGGTCCTCTTGCCCTGGTGACCCTGTGTGCTCCACCGCAGTTTCCGGACGTCACCAGCCTCCCAGAAGTAGTACCGAGTGAAAACGAGTCCCCTGCCCTCCAGAGCAGCCTGCTGTCTCCACTCCTCACGGGGACAGAGTCACCGTTCGACTTGGAACAGCAGTGGCAGGATCTCATGTCCATCATGGAGATGCAGGTAGGGTTGTCAGGGGGACAGCTCCTTGGGGCAGGGAGGGGCGGGGCCAGGTGGGTTTCCTGGGAGCCCGACCTGCCCCTGGGACCGCCCTCCTCCTCGCCTTGGGCTGTGCCAGGACAGCAGTGGGTCACAGAGGGTGCTCTGGCCAAGGCTTCTCTTTCGGCCTCACAGGTGTCTAGTCGGCCTCTTTGCTTTAAACAGGAGAAATCGAAGCTCAGAGAGGGTGGGTGATGGCCCGCATGGAACAGCAGAGTTTCTTGTCTGGAGCCTTTGGTGCTCTTATTGCCATGCTGGCCGGGCAGTAGAGAGCCGCCCTTGGGTGTTCTTGCCCTCCGAGACGGGGGTCTGGTCCTAGGAGCCGATCTGCCTGCGCCGGGCCGGGGCCCATAGCAGGGAGCTCAGGTCAGCTGGGCCAAGCAACCCGGAGGGTTTCGCGCCCCAGTCTGGCCCTGCACCCAGGCAGCCTGCGCCCCGGCTGGGGTCCGGGCGGGAGCCCCTGGGAGGGGTCTGCTCCTAGTGACCGCCACCGCTCTGCTCCCTCCCAGGCGATGGAAGTGAACACGTCAGCGAGTGAGGTCCTGTACAGCGCCCCTCCCGGGGACGCCCTGAGCACCAACTACAGCCTTGCCCCCAGCACACCCATCAACCAGAACGTGAGCCTGCACCAGGCGTCCCTGGGGGGCTGCAGCCAGGACTTTGCGCTCTTCAGCCCCGAGGTGGAGAGCCTGCCCGCCACCGCCGGCAGCCCCGCGCTGCTCCCCCTGGTCCCCAGCAACTCCACCAGCCTCAACTCCACCTTCGGCCCCACCAGCCTGGCCGGGCTCTTCTTCCCGCCCCAGCTCAACGGCACCGCCAACGACACGGCAGGCCCGGAGCTGCCCGACCCCCTGGGGGGCCTGCTGGACGAAGCCATGCTGGACGAGATCAGCCTGATGGACCTGGCCATCGAGGAGGGCTTCAACCCCGTGCAGGCCTCACAGCTCGAAGAGGAGTTCGACTCTGACTCGGGCCTCTCCCTGGACTCCAGCCATAGCCCATCCTCCCTGAGCGGCTCTGAGGGCTCCTCTTCCTCCTCCTCCTCCTCCGCCTCGTCCTCCTCCTCCTCTGCCTCCTCCTCCGAGTCCTCCTCAGCCTCTTCCTCCTTTTCTGAGGAAGGCGCCGTGGGCTACAGCTCGGACTCGGAGACCCTGGATCTGGAGGAGGCGGAGGGCGCCGTGGGCTACCAGCCCGAGTACTCCAAGTTCTGCCGCATGAGCTACCAGGAGCCGTCGCAGCTGTCCTGCCTGCCCTACCTGGAGCACGTGGGCCACAACCACACGTACAACATGGCGCCCAGCGCCCTGGACGCCGCCGAGCTGCCCGCCGCCGGCAGCCTCAAGAAGGGCGGCAAGGAGAAGCAGGCCGACTTCCTGGAGAAGCAGATGAGCCGGGACGAGCACCGCGCCCGCGCCATGAAGATCCCCTTCACCAACGACAAGATCATCAACCTGCCGGTGGAGGAGTTCAACGAGCTGCTGTCCAAGTACCAGCTGAGCGAGGCGCAGCTCAGCCTCATCCGCGACATCCGGCGCCGCGGCAAGAACAAGATGGCGGCGCAGAACTGCCGCAAGCGCAAGCTGGACACCATCCTGAACCTGGAGCGCGACGTGGAGGACCTGCAGCGCGACAAGGCGCGGCTGCTGCGCGAGAAGGTGGAGTTCCTGCGCTCGCTGCGGCAGATGAAGCAGAAGGTGCAGAGCCTGTACCAGGAGGTGTTCGGCCGGCTGCGCGACGAGAACGGGCGGCCCTACTCGCCCAGCCAGTACGCGCTGCAGTACGCGGGCGACGGCAGCGTGCTGCTCATCCCGCGCGCCCTGGCCGAGCAGCAGGCGCGG